AAATTTTTCGCAAAAAACGCGTTTCTTGCGTTTTTTTAATGAGCGTTACTGACTCACAATCGCGGTTCCCTTTTGAGCGTTTAAACGCGTTTTTCCAAATGTTTGTCTGCTTGGACGTAATGAAGGTTGAAGTTTTACAGTATTTCCTTTGATTTTTTATTTTTGCGGGCATTTTTCTCTAGTAAGACGCGACATGTCTGAAAGGTCGAATATATTCCGCTATTAGATGGGATTCAACAATACAAGAAAGCCGCTCTTGCATTGGTCTATTAGAATATAAATGCACATATGCTCGTCACATTGAATATATCAGAGATCAATTAATCAATTATTTATTTAGGTTTCTATCAATCAGGTAACTCAAATGATGTTCTTTTTCTGCGGATTCACTTCGACAAGCTTGAACAGAATTGTGTTCAGTACATCCTGGCGTTTTGAGCTTGTTGTGATGTTTTTTGAGTGAATAGTGAATTTTTTAATATTAGGTGAAAACAGCCTGAAAACCCTAATTTTCGTAGAAGTAGCTTTCCGGTAAGTTTTTGAAATTTTTCTAACAACAAATATTGCCGCGAGACTCAGCATGGTCGATTATCCATAGTTCCTCCCGCTTAAAGCTGCCAATAGTCACCGGGTGCCAGTCATGGGACTTGCAGGAAGTTCTTTTATAGACTGCGTTTGCTGGTAAGCATAATGCTTATTGAAGAGTAGCTTTGGGTAATATTTTGATGAAACAAGTATATCTTTGTTTCTCTCATTTTCTTATCCTGTTACATTTTTCGTAATTTTTCAGCAAATCGATGTACAAATTCGGAAAGTATTACAGTTAGAAACTGAGTGTAGTTATTTGAAGCAACTGAATTCATCGTTGAAAGCTGATGAACGACAAGACTATAGAAAGATATTATTCCCACACGTACTGGAAGGGAGAGGATCAGTGTGTACTCCAGATATGCATATTATTTTAGATCTTCCAAAACGTGAACCATTACCAGTTTGAAAGTCGGTGCCTTCTTTTTTGTTAATTGCATTTGTGTTTATTTAGCCGGTGAGTTAGATATTTTTTTACTTTTGGAATAAAAGAATACAGCATTAAAATTACGGTTTCAGGATCTCTTAACACTAAGTCACATGTAGAGCTTGATCTGGAATTTTCAGATTAGCAATCGTTTTTTTGTTCTGCGTTTTTCCGTAAAACTCACACTCACTTATTTTGGTAAAAATGTGAGCAAACGCACTAAGCCTTTGCGTATTCAAGGGAATATAGACAGTGGAACTTTTTGTTTCTGTTTCTATGGACCACTGATCACCAAAGAGATTATATTTCTAAATTAAATATTGCGTATACAAATTAGCAGTGCCAAGAAAAATTAAAGAAAATTTAGATCATGAGACGTAGTCTACTGCTACAGGCAGAGCAGTAGTTGACGATGTTACTACTGGTGCCGGCGCAGCCGTGGTTGATGTTGTAGGAACTGTCTTTGCCCCACCACAGTCTGGCCCTTCAAATTCTGACTTGCATGTACACTTATTGAATTGAAGTACGCCGATTGGTTCACATTTACCATTCTGTTTATTACAGTCATTATCACATGTGACTTTACTGTTGAACAGTAAAGTTCGTGTGACATTCAATATCAGTTCCGATTTCGTTTCAATGTCTCTGTCACGAGGGAAATTATTTTTGTTAAGCAGTGCAAAGATCGGTTTCAGTGTGTATTTAATAATAGCAGGATTTGATGGAACAGTCAGAAACCAATCGTTCAATTTCTTATTGGGATCGAGCACACTGCCTCCTGTTAAACAAGAGAGGGAAAGCATAAAAATACTTTTCTCTATTACGTAGAACGAAATCTTTACCTGTTATAGACGAATATGCTGTTGTAACTTTAGAAAGGAAATCATTTAATTTCGTTGTCGATTCGTTATTCATATTTTGGTAACCAAAATTGAAAATAGTTGAAAAACTCAATTGAGCTTGCGTGGAAGAAGAATCACCACTAGACTGCATGCTGCGTAGATTATCATTTGAAATGACAATTGTCTGCTGGGCAACACCGCCTAAAGAGTCATTATTTAACGAAGTTAGAATTCAGAGAAAGTAAATAGTTTTCGTCGAAATATACCTAAGACCATCTTGGTTAAGAATGTATAACCGAAGTACCCAATGATATAATCTTTGATGTAATTAACAGTTTCTGCATCTGTTCCATCACAACATGGCATCTCCTGAATGACTGTTCGAAATTCTTCAGACAAGTGAGCTGTTTGTTCGAAGAGTGACAATTCAACGAAAGAAACTTCAGCATAGGTATGAAAAAGGGTTGAAGCTTGATTGTTGATGCTGTTGAGCACGAATGTAGATTGAGAGGAGTGACCGAATGAGAATCCAATTCTTCCCAAGTTCAGCAAAGAACTACCAATGCCAGCAATACCACTACCGGCGCCACCACTTCCATTATCAGGAGTGGGATTTTTTGTTCCTCCTCCACTAGCAGCTCCGCCCAACGCTGCTCCAGCTGCACCAACGATCGGATTGACAAGACTAATTGAGACACCAAACTGGACACTAACACTATTAGCCATACTTTGTAAGAAGGTTCTTGTGTCGTCGATTTTCTCCGTTTTTGCACGGATTTCCGAGCGTGGGACACAAAATAACTACATTTGAACCAAGGAACAGAAAAATGAGCAAGCCTATAGGAGAATGCTAGCTTCAGTTATTACCTCTGTGCCTCTTGGAATCAATTTATCTGTACAGGAACCAACTGGCACTTTATCGTATGTTAGATTGAATATCAACTGCTTGAATCCATTCATACTGCATTCACCGTTGAAGCAGACGGGATCGGCTTTAAATGTAAGAT